CCATTGATCGTCGCTGGCTAAATTTGTTCACTCGATCAGCAGTCGTCGAGCAATCCCCGCCAATACCTCGATATTATTAATCCCGGTGGGAAGATAGTAACCAGCAGCCAAGATGCCGCGGTGCTACATGGTAAAGAAGGCCTTGTGCAACAAGTACATAACCAGCGTTGCCAGAGGATTCGAGGGCTGGGGTCGTGGAAGGAGCACGCCATCACCAACCACCATACAGCTGCCCTTCTCGCCCATAGAGGGGTGTGCCGCACCCTCTGTTGCACAAGGTACGCTGTATTCCGCGTATTTAGTCCAAAATTTATGATCTTTCGCCACTCGTCGCAAAGACGCAATAGTCATACTTTTTTTAGTTATAAGTTGCCGCACAGTCCATTTGTGTCACCTGGCATCGGGACGATTGTTTCGACACTGAACCGGTAACTAAAATGATGAACTCGAAATTACACTACAATATGATAACAATGAGTGATAGCTTATCCTGAGAAATATAATAAATAAGAAGAATATATTTGAAGTTGACAAATGCAATAATGTGTTTGAATATATAAACAAATATAGTACATTATATAGTGCCGAAACAATCAAAAAGGAGCAAAAAGATGTGGTTTATTTATTTTCATTCTTACATACATATATTAGAGGTAGTACTAATTTATATATTCTAAGCTTCGGTATACATACATACACACATACGCTGAAAGAAAAAAATTTTCAAATGAAAAAACATATTTTCTTAAAATCGTAGTTTTTTATGCAAATATTTTTGTTATTATATTTAATTTATAAAAAAAGTATTTGGCTTTTTTAATAAATATATATATTATACAATGTATATTTTTTGTATTTTTCATTTTTACGTTCAAATAATAATTTCATGAATTACGTAATATAATATTGAGTTAATATTAAAATGAAGTAAATTGGTTTTTTTTTAAATAAGTAATTTAATCTTCTTGGATATAAAAATTATGTAACAATAAATATTTTAATTAAATAAATAAAGACTCTAAGATTATAAATCTAATTGCACATAAATATAAGAACAATAAGAGTTAAATTGCAGTTATTAGTTGCTTATTAAAATATTTTAATAACTTGTTTAGAATTATAAAGTTATAAAAGAACGCTTCTATTATAAGTATGTAGTCAACTTCAGTAGCGGTTATACATACTATATTACAATATAGAACTAGACATTGATCGATCAGTTTGTGGAATTTAAAAATAATATTATTCAAACAATAAAAAATAAATAAATAAATAATGGTAATTACAAATCTGTTATTCACGAGAGAAATCCTAGACGAGTTAATAGATCAGATCCAAGATACTCAATATCTACCGAAACATCTTCATTATATAACTATGACAGAAGTTTACATAATATTGTTAAATAAAGAATAACTGAATATACAATCACAACTGGTTATACTTATCAAAAATACAATACGCTTATAACATTATAGACACACGAATAATTAGCAGTCAATAGGAAAATAAAGACAATATGTTTAAATTTAGCAGTCGATAAAAAAAACTCGAATGTGTGTTTAAAAAGCAATTTGGCATATTTTAATCGTAAGTGCTTAAATATATAATTATTAAGAATTATAAGGAAAATAAATATAATCGAAATGAAGCAACGAGAGGTCTATCGATAATATAGCTATATTATTTTAGAAATTTCGTTTACATTCTATTTTACAGTTTAAAAAAAGAAAGTACACATAATGTAATAGTCCGTTTTCTTATTGTAAATTTATACTGTTATTTTGACTTTTTATGTAAATGATCTCTGAAATTAAATATTTGTGATAATTTTATTCGTTATTAAAGATTTTAATGTCGAAGACATTTATTTATTATACAGAAAATATAAAATCAATAGGATAATTATTAGTCATGTTAAATTAATAGAGTAATGTTAGTCAATATTTCAATAAACAATTCAAGATTCTTGTCATGAAACATTGAATGTAAACGTTTTATGGTTTTGTCTAATGAAAAAATAAGTTTAGAAACATAGGCACTTAATCGAGAATTGAATTTATTCCTCTCTATTACATTATACTTACATATGCTTATAGCAATATATACTTATAACAATTCCTAAAAATTCTATGCAATTTGTTCGAAAAATTTGAAACCTACCATCCAAGACTACATCGTAGGCTTATGACACTAATCGTATATAATATGATTGTTAATTGGATTAAATATTATATCTAAGAAATTTATGGAATTATTAAATTAGTAGCAGAAGGAAAACCATATGCAAATGTAAAAAAAAAAAAAAAAAAAAAAAAAAAATATATAAAGATAATTATAAGGAATCATAAATCTGTAATTATAGAAAAATATAAGTAATATAAAATAAAAAAAAAAAAAAAAAAAACAAATTTTAAATCTTTATAACAAAATCTGTAATTCGAAAAATAATAGTGAATCCATAAGAGTACCAAAAGATTGCTTATGGCATATTTCTTCAAATAGAAACTAAGTGGAGTCTGACACAAAATGAATAATTCTTAGAAATTTATCACAGTGTCGTTGCCAATTTTTTCATATTATTCTATATTTTCTTCAGACCATCTAACCAAGTCTAATGATACATTAATAACATGTAAATCGAGAAATAACATGTAAGAAAACCAAGATAAAAGTGCTATCAAGTTTAAACTTGTTCAACTTACAGTAAAGTGAGAAACTATTCTACACACATGGTTACTAGACTCCATATGGCTACTCGCTGAAGACTAGAATGAGAATGGCTACATACTTATGGTTAAAACATTATTTTAACTTTACTATGCAATTATAGGCACACTATTAATAAGTAAGTAACAAATACAATTTTCCTTCTTATTGTCTTTATATATTTATGTAATTAGAATAAATATTTTATAGAATGAAAAGAAAAAGAAATATTTGATTAAAAATTGTATATCCTCTGCTGTATAGAAGATGTCCCGCTCATAAAAAAAAGTCGCATATTCTAAACCAAACATAGTTAAAAAGTCTTGTAGAGTTTTTGAATATTTTTAATATTATCCGAGATGTTGCAAGTTGAAATTTAAATAATTTCTCCAATCAAACGCTATAATCTACGCGCCGTTTGCTCAAAAGTGGGACCGCAGATTCTTTTTCTTGCCCCATGCCTATTTACTTAGAATTTACATCAATAAGCAAAATAATATAAATTTGACAAATATTTTGTATAATAAATAAATATACACATAAGGAGATGTATACACATAAGGATAAAAAGTTTTTAATCAGTACAAATATTTTTGTATTGAAAAACATATCTATAATATCTATTACATAATAAAATATATAATTCTGTATAGATTTAAAATATACCAAAATTAAAAATATACCAATTCGATTAAACAACGATTTAAAATATACTAATTCATTTTAACATGATACATACTTAAAATAAATAATATATTATTAATCGAATAAAATAGAAATTAAAAAATATTTGTTTAAACTAACAAATAAATAGTAAAAATATAAAATTTTCATTCAACTTTAGAAAGCGGCAGTCTCCAAACTTGACATACTTTTTCATCATCAAATTTTTGACGTAGTAGCATATAAATGTGCAAGTATAACAGTTCGACATCTAATGTCCGTTTCTATTTTTGTTTCTATATTCTATATTCGTTTCTATATTCGTTTCTATATTCGTTTTAATCAAATCTTAACTTACTTCTTCTCCTTTAATATGGCCCAGAATTTTTAATTCCATAAGCTACAAATCTTAAATTAATTAACTTAAATTGAACTCAATTGTCTATTTAGACATAGGCTTAAACTTAATCATCTTGGTCAAAATAAAATTTAAACTTGGTTTAAGATACAATAAATTAAGTATCAATTGTCAAGGTACAATCGTCGTTAATAGAAACGTACAATATACATTGAATCATTATACAGGGTAATTGAATTAGACGTGCAGGATTTGTTTTGTGAATGAAACAACGAATTACCTGTAAACTATTATTTTTATTATACCAATGTGTTCATTAGAGATGGGAATTACGTATGAAAAACAACACCATGTAAATGACCACCCCTAGTTTTTTCACAAATTACTACTCGTTTAGTAGTTTTCAATAATTTTTTGCAATATAAAAGGTTGAATTTCTTCAATTTCTCATCAAATATTTTCCTTTAAACGCTCCGTAGTTTAGTAACAGGATTTGTCGATGTAAATCGGTCTCGCTTCTTCAAATAATCTCAAAGAGAATAGTCCAGAGGCATCAAGTCGCAAGATCTTGGGGGCCAGTTAATGTCACCGTTCCGCGAGATAACGCGATCAGAAAATTTCTCATACAATAACTATATGGTTTCACGAGCTGTACGACATGTCACGCTATCCTGTTGAAATCACATTTCACGTCAATGTCATCCACTTTTGGCCATAAAAAGTTGGAAATCATATCGCGATATTGTTCAGCACTGACAATGACTATTTTTCCAGCCTCATTTTCGAAGTAATATGGCCCAATAATACTTTTACCCATTACTGCGTCGTACAAGCACAGGTTTATTACAAACTAAACTCTCGTTTTCAAATTTTTTAATTAACTTACGAATTGTATTGACAGATGGGAAATGTTTTCTTTCAAAACAATTGCGAAGTTTACATTTTGTTTGCGTTATCGAACACTGATTTTCATAAAAACACTACGATATGCACACGTTGCTATACTGTATAATGCTCCATTTCAATATTCCTTAACATCTAGAACACAATAGACGAAGAATCGCAGCGCTGCAGTGCACATAACGAAAACGGTATCAAATTTAAATCTTGCATCTCTCGTTGAATCATCTTATACTTGCTCACTTATGTATAGCCGTGTCAAAAATTTAACGATAAGCATATCAAGTCACTGCTATCTGGCGATTGCCGCTCCCTAAGGTTGAATAAAACTTTTATTTTTACTATTTTACTGAAATTTACTATTTCTCTTTAATTTAAAGAAATATATTTAAAGTTTCTATTTTATTCAATAATTATATGATTATATTATATATTTCAAGTCTAAATTATATTGAAATTAAAGTATTTTTAAACTTTATTCGGATAGAGAATGTAATTAAAATTAAATGTTAATTAATAGTAATAGAAACAACAATAAATATACATTACTGGAAACAACTATTGGGTTGGCAAATAAGTTTATTCGGTTTTTGTTTCAGTGTAAGTTTCATGCGGATTCGCTTTTCTTTTCTTTAGCATTATCGTGCA